TCAAGTTGAACAAGAAGTAAGATGGGGAGGAGTTGATTACCACCACAGGCATACGGTTGATGATGACCAAATGCAACCCATATCATCATTCAAGGCTTTCCTTGAAGTGGTCAAGAATAAGAGTTTCCCTTGGAAGGCATGGGAAATCAATGCTATTCACTCGCTACAAAATGCCGTGCAGGAATCGTTCCAAGACATGGAGAATAATAGTACAAAAATGAAAATTTCATCCCAAGAAAAGGATTTAGAAATGGACAAACTCGCTTTTATAGCAAAGGATACGGATAAACTTTTGGAGATGGCAGTAGCTCCAATTTTTGAAGTTAACATAATTGGCAACATCACTAGATGGAATTCAAAAATTGCGGAAATAACAGGCTTACCTGCGAGTTCTGCAATAGGGAAATGCTTTGTTAATGAGCTTGTTCATGAGGAATCTCGTGAAAGATTTGAACGTCATCTATCACGTTCTTTGCAAGGTATGTCATTCTTAGGGGTTGCTTGCATTTTATTTATGTAACAATCACCCTATTCTCCATAACTTCTGTCATATATTTTAATTTTGTTAGCTGTATTTTTGGCATTTGTCAACTTTTATTATGTTTTTTATCCATTTTCAGGCGAGGAAGTCGAAAGTATAGAGTTGAGACTAAGGACTCGGGGCCTGCAAAATCGTGAATCGGTCTTTATTGTGATGAATGCATGCTCACGTAAAGATTTCACAAACAATGTTGTCAGTGTGTGCTTCATAGGTCAAGATGTCACTGATGTGAAACTCCTTATGGAAATGTTTGATCGCCTGCAAAGGGATTATAAAGCTATTACAGAAAGTCTTAAACCATTGATTCCTCCAATATTTGTTTCGGATGAGAGTGCACGATGCTCAGAGTGGAATGCATCAATGGAGAAATTAACTGGTTGGGAAAAAAGTGAAGTCATTGGAAAGCTACTGCCGGGGGAAATCTTTGGTAAATGTTGTCGACTCAAAGGTCAAGATGATGTTACCAAACTCATGATTCTCTTGTACCAAACATGTTGCAAGCAAGACAATGGAAAATGCTCATTTGGGTTTTTTGATAGAGAAGGCATATACATTGATACTATTTTAACTACAAATAAGAGGATTGATGTGAGTGGGCATGTTGATGGTTGTTTTTGCGTTTTACAAACTGTACCTAACATGGAGCAGAACTTGCATGAGTTGAGTTGTTCATCATCAAGAACTAAGGATGATTTCGAATACATACGACAGGAGATAAAAAGTTCATTGAATGGAATACAATTTACGACTCACAAACTCCTCCTCGAAAGTAGTCATATTACAAATGATCAAAAACAACTTCTTGAGACTAGTGATGCATGTGAAAGGCAGATGATAGAAATCCTAAAGACTACAGATATTGGGAGCATAGAAGATTGGTAAGTTTTCGATCTTTTAGTTTTTTTTTTTTTCAAGGTAAATGTACAAGATTATCATCATAGCGCATATCACATTACTTGAAATGATGCTTCATATTATCTTTAGTTACATTATATACTGAACCTTTAATTTTATGATTATTTTGATATGCATGTTCTGAACTTTTTCAAACAGTTCCTTGGAGCTAAAAATGGCTGGGTTTCTCTTGCAAAGTGTTATGCATGCTGTTGTTAGTCAAGTAATGATTTTCGTTCTGGAAAAAAATCTGCATCTAATACATGAGTTATCGGAGGAGACTGAAACACTGCTTCTATATGGTGATCAAATTAGACTTCAACAAGTTTTGTCCAAGTTCTTGTTCCATATAGTGCATTATACTCCAAATTCAAAGAGTTCTGTAGAATTTAGGGTTGATCCGAGTTCAAAGTTAATAAGAGATGGACATGAATTCGTGCATCTACAATTCAGGTACAACATACTAATTATAACATATCATCGAAGATCTTTATTAACTTTTTTTTTTGTGGATGTAGGATGATTCACCTCGGTGAAGGACTCCCGTTGAAAATTGTCAAGGAGATGTTTGAGGAAGAAAATATAGGGGTTTCGAAAGAAGGGTTTGGTTTAAGAGTGTCCCGTAAACTTCTGGGGAAGATGAATGGCAATGTCCAATATATTAGGGAGCCTAGTAAATGCTACTTTCTCATTGATATCGAATTTCAAACCATTGACGAAAGATGCAAAGGGAAGGATAAACAGGCTCAAGGAATCCCTCAAGTGTGACTAGTTACAATTGGGAGAGATGAATCTGTACATAACTCATCGACGTTCTTAATGTGTTATATAATATGTATGGTATATGTCTCATATAATATGCGGGGTGTGCTATGATAAGAATAACTGTAATGTTGATGTAGTACTATATATCATTTCGTGATGATCATGTATATAAACTTGTATGTGTTTTATGTTTTAATCACAGCTTAAGCGTTTTATATACCAGATCGACTGAGAGGACCCTTTACCAGTCCACTGTTTAAAGTATGGTTCAAGAGGGACAAACCCTTTTCATTTGTAATAAACAACATACATGCAATTGACAGGAACGAGGAACACTGATACCTTGTTCTTGCAGGCATCACACCAATACAAAGTAATCCCTACAGAACAATCTATGGGCTTATAAAATCGAAACATGTTTCCTCAATTGTTTACGTCGTTAGTGATCAAAGGTGTAGTAAGATCAGCCACTTCTTGCTTCTCCAAATCACTTTTGTTAGTTTCTTCAGTTCTTCCTTTGTATTTACTGTATATCGCGTACACAACCAGCTGGAGAATCCCTAATGGGACTCCAATGAAATTAGGAGACTGCAAACAGAAGTAATTAAAGAAATAGAATGAGTAACTAGAAATCACAGATCATTATTATATATATTTTTAAGTGTATAATTTGATTATACAGACCGCAAGTAAGATATCGTTGCCCAGTAGCGCGTACATCATCCATGCAAAGCTTGTCAAAAATGAGAACAGAGACAAATTTAGAGGCATAAATTCGACGCTCTTTGTTGCTATAACTTGTTTCTGCAAACACAAATGGTAGGTATGTATCAGTTTGCCATCTCACTGTAGCAGAATAAAAGAAGACTGACATTTGCATTTCCAACAAGATTACTCACCACAGCCACCAGAGGAGAACCATACATACTAGCTGAGGCAAAGAAACCAAAGCTCCCAAGTATTGTATGACGAAGATGATGATCATTCAGTAATGTCGACATGGCAAGCATTGAAGAACAAAACACAATCACAGGAACCATTATAAAGGTAACAGTAATCTGCATCATAGGTTGGTTGAAGTATTCAGAATGATTAAGAAATGTACATCCAATGAAACATTTCGCAAAATGAACTCAGTTTTACAAATTGCTTGCCTTTTTTGTTGGTGTTGCATACCAAAAGTAAATGGCGATAAAAGCAGTCTCCATAAAACACCCAATGCCGTTGATAGTGAAAACATGAACATTTTCCCAGCCTACACTCGCCAGAGGTGAACCGTACAGCGTATAAAGTACACTGTTTAACAAGGCCGCAACATATGGAACGACTGAAAACTCCTCCGTGCTTTTGTTTTTAATCACCCTCTTAAATGTCAATCTACAAAGACAACAAATAAAAATAAATGAAAAGGTTGATAGAGAGTAGTGTGAGATAACTTATATACGCGGAAGAAATTACATTGGTGTGAAATATAGTAGTAAACTGACGACGTTCCCTGCAAAAAAAATGCCGGAGTTTTACATGTTAAATCATCATCCAAATAGATTGTTTTGGATAAATAAAGTTAACCAAAGACAATGTAAACATAATACCAAATATTCCAAATGCATTTCTTATAATATGTGCAGTTTCGGTTGAAACTAAGCACAACGAACAACCTAAATCTAATGCGGGACTGGAAAAGAAGGAAAATAGAGCTGCAGCATGATCCATCTTTTCCACGACCCGCTTGTTGAGACAAAGAGTTCTTTGTAAATTTTGATTTTATCTGTTTCTTCATATTTAAGGCAGAAACAGTAATGCAGAACTTGTTACAATTGCCGATAAAAATGAATTTGATAAGAGAAAAAACTTCAATTATGGAAAATATCTCTAATTAGTTGTAAATTGGTTTCAGACTTATGGTTTGAAAAGAATTTTACTGTAAATGACTTGTAATAGAATCCCATGAGGCCATGACCTATTTCTTCTCCTAGTCCAACAAATCATCAGTTGCTAAAGTTGTATAAAATTTCACATCTAAGCATGTTCTTGTAGCTTGTTGGATGCATGAAGCCTTAGTGCCCCATGCGTAACCGCAAAGACATATTGTTCAACAAGTTGGAATTTTCTTTATTATAAGTTCGGCAATTTGATTATTGGAGATTCTTGGTCTTGCAAAATGGATATCAATCATATCACATGGTCTTATCAGCACATATGATCAAGATCGATCTGTTAGTAGAAACCCACTAGCCGCAGAGGCCTGTGGTCATTATTACAATGACAAAGACAGTCCTAATTGAGTCTAGGTTCTCGACATTTATCAGATTGTAACAGAGGCAGACCGCAGACCTCATCCAAGAGACATTGTGTCTCTGGCTAAGAATAATAATACAGTAGAATTAACAGCTCAACGCTAAAAAAAATCCAGAGATTTTTTGAAAAAAAATATTCATCACCAAGTTGGAAGCATTCGACATCGTTGTCTTCTTAATTGACAATGCTAATAATGCAGTGAAGAGGAAGCTTTTAGTTCACTGTTATATGTAGGAAAAACATTTTTGTTAGTGGTTTAAAAGGCATTGACTTTGTTAAGATTGCATGGAATATAGGGATGAGAAAGTGAGCATATACTTGCATGTTGGTGTAAGCTTGAGTAAAGAACCTTTATATCCAAGACATTTTAACAACCTTGCTAGCTTGGTGATGCTTGTCTTTCTAGCTATATATAGTAGTATGTGATGGCCGGGAAGATTAGTAAACAAGCAGTACAAGATGTATTACATACTGAAGGTTAGGAAAGATGGGTCTTACATGAAGACAGGAGTCTTGTTTAATAGCCAAGGATGACTTGCCTACATCCCTTCAAAATGTTATTTACATGAAAATGAGGAGTCTTAGCTTGTTTGTGAATTGTGATGGTTCATAGGCAGGGTCCTTGGCTATCTTGACTGCCTCCTATTTTTCATGCCAGACCTGCTTCTTCCCATTTGAATTGAACAAGGCCATCGATATGTTTATGAACAGATCCTAAATTTTACTGCATGAGTGTTTTCTCTCCTTTCGGGTTTTATTCGATTTTAATTACTAACAGATGGAGGCACATATGCAT